ATCACACTTTTGGAATGAGAGCCTAAATAGCCTGTACTTATAGTACAAATGCATGGAAATTGGCCTTTACCTTCTTTAGGTCACCTGTTATCCAAAGTCACGTGAAATGCATAGGCGAGGTGCTGTAAAGCAATATATACTAGCAAGGCAGCTTTATCTCATTTTCCATGTTAAGTCAGCACCTTAATACCTTTGTTTTTTTCCCTAAAGAGAGGTGGATAAAATGACACAGTCTGGGTGATATTCCTATAAATTTGCCTATTTTCCATCTGGAAGGTGTTAGCTCTTCCATTTGTGATCTTTTTGTTTTTTAACCAGTTTTTTAGTGTATTTTGAAGCTGTGCCCCTACTACAAATGCATGACAAAGCAGCACAAGGCATTTTGTATAACTGAATGCAACTATAAATTACTGATCAGCAGTTACTCTAGCAGGAGGGTTGCCCAGTGGAATGTTTGAATGCAAGGGGAGAGGCATTCTATCTTTTTTCCATAGCTATATGCTCAGGTGTGGAAGCAGACAAAAAGATCATTTGCGATTCTGCTTTGTATATAAATCCGCTGTGCAGCCACAGAAAACTTGCTTTAAAGCATCCCTGCCTTAACAGGATGCCCATAAAATGGATAAAGAACAAACCTGTCATGAATTGACTTAAGGGCTGGAAGACAGCTTCCATTACTGAGCAATGTGAAACAGGGACAGCAAATAATGGGTCTTTTTTCTCTTTTTCCCCACAGTCGACAGTGGAGGCAAGGTGCCTTTGACTGAAGAATTTGCACATGTATATTCGCTGGCTGATGGCATTAGAATATGGATGGTAAGATTACACATACATACTGGGCTCTATTTTAGATTCTTTGCTTTCACATTCACACTTTTTTTCCCCTCCAGAACTGCATTGTGGGTCTCTGTGCCCCGCTTCCCCCGGGAAAAGTGACTCTGTAAAACCGGCTGTGTAGGCATCCGTATTCCCTCATGAATTGCAGATCAAATTCGTTTAGAAGTAAAAAGAAAAGATTCTTTTCTTCTAGTCCTGCAAAAATTAGGTAGCTCTTTGTCCTAATGTGTTGTCTTCTACATTTAAAGACTCTGTAAGCCAAATTCTGCCCTAAGCCACACCTGACCCTTTGTACTGTTTTTTCTGTGAGTGCAGAGCTGTAATTGAGGTAGAATTTTTGCTGTCCATTTGGATTTCTATCAGTACAAGAGCCAGAAGGAAATGCTTTGTTTGTGCAGTGCTGCAACCTAAGAACGGTGACAGAAAAGTAAAAGATTGTCATTCAAGTAAACCAGCTCTAGTTGAGGATATTTGCAGGAAGCAGATTTATTGATATTTGAATCTTGTTGTTTTACCTGCTTTGAGTGTGCCTATGTGATGCACAGACATATACCGTGTTTGGTGCACAGACAGAAGTTCTGGAACTGGATGCAGAAGAGCTGTGCTAGTACCACACTTCATGCTCAGCTTCTCATCTGCACTAACCAGCTATCCTGCTTCCAGCTCCAGAACTGGCACAGGTATCTTTGCACTATGCTACCTGCTACATGTATGCTTTTAAGATTCTTGTGCAAACATAATTAACGTGTTGGGAGCTGATGTAATCGGTTCGGCTTTGTTATGACTAGCAGGAGGCAGACTTTGCAGTGGCTTTCGCTAGCTTGGCCAGCACGAGATTCCACATACTTAAATATTTAGTTCTGTATTAGAGATTTGAATGTTTTTTATCAGTCCAGCCTAAGACTGATTTCCCTAACTGTGGCTTAGTCTTCATGCCACCATGCCATTTGGATAAGCAAGGTTAATTGCATTTTAACTAATTTTAATTAACGTCTTGTCTACAGTTAGAAATGAAGCAGAAGTCCCTGATGAGTAAGGGAAATGATACTGATGAGAAACAGAATGTGGAAACAACTGAGATGAACCCTGAAGCTCTTGGTAAACATCCTTCCTGATGCCTTAGCGCAATGTTACCTTCTCTGTATCTTATCTTCTGTGCTCAGAAACCCTTTAAACCCCTTAAAGCTAGGGCTGTGTGAAGCCTCGGTCGCTGATTCGATTCAGAGAAGATTCAGCCCAATTCGCTGGTTAAGTCTCCGAATTTGAATCGAATCAGGAGACCCTTTAATCTCTCTGGATCAGTTCGGAAAGATTCGAAGATTTGAACATGGACACATTTAAAGCTGTTTTTTCTACATACCTCAAGGTACCAGGCGGTTCAAGAACGCCGTGATGTTGGAGTACATGGAGTGTCCCACAGAAGCGCGGGGGGGTTCCCCAGCACGCTCAACAGCAGACCCGGAAGTGGACCAGAAGCACTTCCAGGTCTGTCTGTGAGAGCGCAGGGGGGCCCCCTGGGCCCACCCGGCCTGGCGACTGGTGCCTTCTGGGTTTGGGGGGGGGGGGCACTCAGGATCCCCCCGCAGCCTATTGCCAAGCTGAGTGGGCGTGGGGAGGCTCCCAGTGTGCTTTTTGGCAGACCCAGAAGTACTAGGGAAGTGTTTCTAGTCCACTTCTTCTGGGTTCGCTGCCGAGCACGTGGGGGGCCCTCCCCCATGCTCCAGTGGGACGCTCTGTCCACCGCATCATCATAGCATTAATGAGGTGCACCTACTACCTTGAGGTATGTAGAAAAAAACATTTAAAGCTGTGTCTATGGCTGAATCGCTGATTCTCCGAATCAGCATCAAATATTCAGATTTGGATTCGGCTGAATTGAATCGGGGACAGTGATCTGAATCAACAAATTGAATCGCTGTCCCTGATTTGGGCCAAATCCAAATTGAATAGGGCCCGTTTTGCACACCCGTACTTAAAACCCTTAAAAAGGATAAATAAGTTGATGTAACAAATACTGTCTCCAAATATTTTTACCTGATAACAGCAAACCAATTGATATGTAGAATCATCCTACTAATGAATTTATGTATGTATGTATTTGTTTGTTTATTTTATTGTTAGATGCATGTCTCTTCCTTCTCAAAGAAGGCTAGTTCAGATGTCACTATACAATGTATCCTTATTGACAGATGTTGCATGTTTTGTATAAATGTAATTGTATAAGTGTACTTGGTCTTGAGAGATTCAGATCCTCCTCCCCTTTAGACGAAAATGGGTTAGGACTAAATCGGGGTGTCAGACGTGGCCTGGATATGACCCACAGTACCCCGTTATCCATCCCCAGTCCTGCCCCTGAGTATGAATTGACTCAGACCTGCCTTGCAGGCAGGGCCTGGGACATGTGGTACATGAAGCCCCTGCTCCAGCAGTCCAAAACCAGCACTGCATGTGTCACCTGTCTTGAACCAGCTGCTGGACGTGCCAAACCCAGATGTATAGTGCAGTCTGGCCAAAGTGTGTGCTGCATATAGTACAGCACCTGCTCCAGCTGCTCCAGGATCTACACTGGAGTGTCCAGATCAGGCGTTGTGGGGGGGGAGGCTGTCTGGGGTCTGTGGTCCCGCTGGCCTGTTGTGGCCCGTGGGCTGGCCTGCATCACTCACCCAGACCATGGGGCAATATGTGTTTGACACTCGTGGATTAAATAGCTGATGGTGCTGAAGAACAAATCTAGAAAGAAGAACACCATTCTAGCTCATTATAACCAAAAGACAAAAATGAGGCATTTTTCCCTAAATTGAAAGCCCATAGTATTTATTGTGTGGTGGTTTTATTGATTTAATTTTTTAAAATTTTTATGATGCAGCAAAGCTCTGTATACAGAAGAGCCTTTTGTTACTGAATTTTTTGCCGGTAAGAGCAAAGGGTAAAGACCTTGCTTCAGATGTCTGGGAGACACAAGATCAAGAGGATATCAAACAGTATCACAATAATAAGCTTCAAGGGACAAGTTCTATTGTAGAAGCAGATTTCCAAGCATCAGGCTCACTATCTTCCTGTGGAGTCGTTCATCCTGTTTCTGAAGACTCTGACACAAAGGTGAAGCATGTGCCAGATATGCCACAAATTGAAGCAAACGCTGCATTTCAGAAAAAGCCCCTTGAAAATACAGCTTCACAGCAAGAGGATGCATCATCTCCTCCCTCCACCCCAACTCGCAAACCTCAGTTCAGCCGTGGAAGACTAAGGCTACTTTCTTTTAGATCAATGGAAGAGCCTAAATCTGTTCCCACTGTGAAGGAGAAATATCCCATCTTGAAAAACATCTTAGACTTTATTAAGGATCAGTCACTTTCCCATGAAAGGTGAGTAAAAATTAAAGTTTGATAGGCTTTGATACTTCGTACTTAAGTGAATTCACAGCTTTCCAGAAGAAATGAAATAAAGCATCTTTTTTGCCTTTTAGGAACATATCTGTAATTCAAGATAGCATTGAAAAAAAGGTTCTGAATTATCAGCGTGTCTGGCTTGCAGCCAGAAACCCACCTCTAGCTCGCTGAGGCTATACAGTCTGACTCTCCTTTAAATCAGGCAGGCTTTGAAGACAATGAAAAATACCATAGTTACTTGAAAAGAAGATGACCCCCCCCCCCC